GAGTATTTCGCGCCAGGGCATAGGCAAAGAAACCTATTAGAAAGAAGGTATTAGCAGAAGAACCTGGGGAGTTCAGTGTCATAAGATAAAATGGACATAAAGACTAATTTATGAGAAGGTTTTGGGATAATGGGATGGTCAATATGTCAATGATATTTTCAGATCAACACTAATATTTAACTAAAACCAAAAAATTCCTTAATCAATGAATTACTTTCTTCTTCCTCCCAAAGTCATTGATAACTTACACTTTCTGCTTTTCATCTGCGGTTGTTAACCCTGTGACTTGTCCTCTTCATCTACCACTTTTCTAGACTAGTTCCCACCAAAATTTTCATTAATGACCATAAATGTTTTGAATATTGAAAAGATGGTGCAAAGAGAGAGGAAGACTATGTTGAATGAGGACAGCTTATAGAGTAAGTTCCTAGAGAAGATGGGTCAGAAAACAGGATTGGCAATTTAAGGATGGATGCAAATAAAGAGGAGAGTAGAGAAATAAATTAAGGATGCTCTTGCAGATGACATAGATCCATCAGTGAGAGAGGATGTGCTCTGGAACTAGGGGAAAAACTCCAGTAGGATTTTTGGTAGAAGATGATGGGGAAAAATAATAGGATCTTCCATTGTGTATCATTTTGCACTTTAGTTATTAGTTATCCCCTGGTTGGCTAAAATAGCTTGAGTCTCAAAGCATGAGTGAGAGTGTTGTTTATAGGACCAATTCCCAATCCCGATTACATATTAAAATCACATAGGCTATGGGGCATTTTAAAAAATGACTGATAATGAGATCCCATCTTCAGAAGATTCCATTTAATAGGCCTGGTTCGGTGTACAGGTATTGGGAAGATCCCATATGATCCTCATTTCCAAGTTTATAGAGATATAACAACGCCTGGATGTAGTTATTGTGTGTAAATAGGATATTTAGCTAGGATTTTTCCAAATTATTGGTGTGTACAATTTTTTGGTTTTTCTGTCACTGAAAAGAGAAAATGGAAGAACTTTAAAGGGTCAAAGAGAGGGCCTCCCCAGTGGCACAGCAGTTCAGCGCTGGGCTGCGAAGCTGCCCACAGCCTCTACAGCGCGGGTTCGATCCCCGGCCGCCAGCGAGGGACCCACAAGGCGCGCAGACCTCTCCTGCCACCTGCTGCTCCCCTCAGCAGTGTACTTCGGTCCTTCTGCCTGTTTTGCTTCCTGCTCTGGCTCGGTGAATTCTCTCACCCTCCTGTGCTTCTGACTGTACCCAGTGCTTGTATAAATAAATAAATCTTAAAAAAAAATTAAAATAAATGGTCAAAGAGAAAGTAAAATATTATCAGGGAAGTGCAAGGTGAGAAATTTGAAGGGAGATCCAGCCGCTTGTCCCTATATCTATGCAATAAATTGCTTAACAGTCCTCTGAGTACCTGCATATCAAACACCATCCACTGCTATATAAAGAGAGAAAACAGGTTTTCCCTCTGATAGCTTAGATTTAGTTGGAGAAAGAGAAGAGAATGAAACAGATGATTATAATTTCATGTTGTGGAAACAGTGATGGAGGTGGACGGGAGGTCCTCTGGGTATACAGTCAGGGGCCATCTCAACCATACAAGAGAAGTAGGCGACAAGCTTCGGAACTAGGTCTATGGGAGGTGAGGAATGGGTGATGGACATTCACTTATAATGGCACTAGATCAAGAGAGAGGACAGGTCTTCAGGATTGACTCAACTACAGGAGATTGCTGGTAGCCTAAGGAATAGAATGAAATTATGAAAGGTTGAAACAACTTAATAAAATTGTATTCCACATGTAATGTAAGGGAATGTAGCCTTAAGGAATAATAGTAACCCTTTATTTAACCACTGTTTTGGTTAGAATCCTGGCAGAAAACAAATGGCACAGGTAAAATGAGTAACTGAGGTGAGTTTGATAGATGGCCAACTTTAATAGGTATCAGTGGGCTATGAGAAAAAACAAGGAAAAGTTCAGTGCCCTGGAAATGAACTATTTTTAGTCAAAATACCTTGACACCAAATGTACTGGGTTTTATTCTCATATAACCAATTCTTCAACCCCCAGAGACCAACTGGGTGTTCTATGATTAAATTCAATTCTAACACTAGCCAGAGTTAGGCTCAGACTCCACAGTGTTGAGGGCTCAGTCCCATGAGGCTGCATCACTTCAAATGTCACTTGCAAGTATTGTGTTCCAAGGTTACCCCACTTCTGCAAGAGTTGGCTAGAAAACTGGGGTGGAGGGAAATTCTCATATCCTTTTTCTCTTTATGGCCCAATAATTTGCTAGAATGACACACAGAACTCTGGAAAACACTTTCTTTACTTGACCTGCTGGTTTATTATAAGGGATACTGATGAACAGCCAAGTGAAGAGGGCTATAGGAGCTTCAGTCCTGTGGAGTGAGGACACCCCCTCTCAGCACCTGGGTGGGTTCACCAACTCTGTAATTAAAACCCTATTTTTTAGTTATTTAGGAATTTGTTATAGAGTTTTAGGAGGTTTCATTGGCCATTGATCATTACCTCAACATTTAAGCCCTCTCCTCTTCCTGGTGGTTAGGGTTGGGGCTAAAATTTCAAACCGTTTGATCATGTCCTCCAATTTCTAGAGACTAGCTTCCTTTCTGAAGCTCTCTAGGGACCCTTAGCCACCACTCTTGTAATTAGCATACAAAAGACACTCTCATTCTGGGATTCCAAGAGTTTTAGAAGCTGTGAAACAAGGACCAGAGACAAAAGTTAAGTGTAGGGTTTGTTTTTGTTTTTTTTTTTTTTTGCCATAGCACAACATCACATTATTATATCTATATCTATATTTATATCTATATCTGTATTTACCATAGCTCATGAAAGAGTGACTTTAAATACCCCTAGGTCTAAAGAGGCAAGGACAGTGTTATCTCAGGGGGACAGAGAGAGCTCAAGAGAAAGAAGTCTACTCAGAGGAATAGTGGTCTTTGCAGCAGCCCACAGTGACCCCAGAGATGAGTGCTAGGGGGTTAAGTTCTTCAGTCTCACTTTTTGCCTTTTCTCCAAGCTCCTTCAGGTGTTCATATTGAGAAAGGAGTCTAGCACAGAGCACAGAGCAGAGCATAGAGGACAGTGCAGTGAAGGGCTGAGAGACATTCTAGAGGAGCCTGTAAAAAATGTCCAGTCTGCTCTGCTGTAATTAAGTCTGTTTCACACTCATTCATTTATTAAGCAATTATTTATTGCTGGCATCTATAACTTACGTCCTCTAGGTGACAGAAAGTGTGCAGTAGCTACAGGTGTACTGGTAGACTAGATGAAAACTTGACCTTCAGGGAGCTTCCATTCTAGCCTGGGAAAAGAGAGCAAATATGGTACAAATGATAATAATAGTAGTGTTATGTGTAAAGAAGAAAAAATGGAAAAGGGGGATAGAAAATATGGGGATAGGAAGTTAACCATGTGATGACATCAAAAAGATGAGAGTGAATCAGACAGAAATTAATAAGACCACAACATAAGATTGAATGTATCAATAGAATTGACTGGCAGCTCCCAGTAACTCACCCCTTTGCTGGTATATTAGCTTGATGGCCTTGTCATTTATCTGTTCCTGCAGAACATCTTGTCCAATGGCTTTGTTCGTACCAGATAGTTAGTAACAATAGGTTAGTTAATAATTGGGATAGGGATAAATGTGCCAGTGCTTAATATGGAAGTTAGAATCAACATAGAAAATATAGAAAAATAATAACTGTTTCCTATGGCTCAGTTTCCTAATGATATGTAAGAACTTGTGAGAGTTATTGATTACTCTTTAGAAAGGGCCAACTTCTTTTCTCATCTTTTGTTAACTAGTATAATGGGTTTTTGAGGAACCTTTACAGATTTTTACTTTCTGCTTCTTACTGACAGCTGGTTAGACATGGTCAAACACAAACATTCAGAGGTAATTAAATGCATAACATGAAAGAATCAAAATAAGACTCACTTGCTTCAAAACCAGTTCTATTTTTCAATTTTACAATACATGATTCTTTGCCAGGTATTCTTCTGCATAAACAACAATAGAATTAAACAGATGATGCTCTTCCATGCTTTTGTTTGAAGCTTCAAATGAAGACCAGGTTTTATCGGAATTCCCACTATCAGAGACCCTCCTCTAATTCCTACATGTGTCAACATTCCTACTCATGAGGCTGAGGGATAGGCTCTTTGTTTATCACTAGAAAAACTCAGATGGAAAAGTCAGTGTGTCATAAGACTTCCAGAATGCTTGTATTATTTTCTTTCTGACAAATCTATTCACAAATTCTTAGAAACGCAGAATATTGTCAAAATAATTTTGTCTCTATGTTAACAAAGATAGTGCATTGACTATGATTTGGCTAACTCATCCTTTTTATATTCTGTGGCCCAACCAGACAGCCACATCCCTCCTCTCATTGTACATCTGATTTTCTCTCTTTTTGACTTTACCCCACTCTTGCTCTAACTTGCCTCAAATTGATTAATTCAATACAGGATCACTATGATTAAAATATGTCACACATTTCCAATATCTTTAGCAGGCTTTTTTCTCTGTGTGTAATTCTGTATACTTGAATATTGATGTGGTTGCACAAAATATTTCTATTCATCACAGCCCAATAACTAGAAGGACTATTTGGATTTAATTTTTCATGCTATTCTCAAAAACTAGATAACCTTATAGATTTTCTAGTAGCTTTACTAAAGTATAGTTTGTCTTAACTGGGAATAAAATACTCTTTCCTTTTCTTTCACTTTGAAGTTCACTGGCCCAGCAGGTGGATGTTCGATCTTCTTTTTTCCAGTATAAGTGATTCCCAGAATGTTTGGGAAATATTGGGTGTTCGTTATCCCTTTGTTAAAATGCAAATGTGAACTGTGCTGTGGGGAGGGCTATGCAGTGAGTGGAATGAGCCTGCAGAAATGGTGTTGGGATGAGGGTGAATTATTGTGGCCATTTCTCTAGGTCTCACCTTTGTCTCTTTTTGTTCAGCCACCCAATGTAAGCATGGAGCTGTGTATGATACCTGCGGCCCTGGTTGTGCCAAGACCTGTGACAACTGGAATGAGATTGGGCCATGCAATAAGCCATGCGTTGCAGGCTGCCACTGTCCAGCAAACTTGGTCCTTCACAAGGGAAGGTGCATCAAGCCAGTCCTTTGTCCTCAGCGGTGACCTTTGTCCCTCTCCTTAAGACTTTGAAACCTGGTGTCCTTGACACTGAAGTGGAAGAGCCAATGAAGGACTGCAATATTTGTGTGCTGATTCTGCAAATACACACACACACAGAGTATATATGTGTACATATATATATAGAGATATATAGATATATTCAGAAACATTTCATCATTTATATAAGCTATAGGTGGATTATTATATGTATATTTTTTGCTATAAGACATGTATTGTTTCTAGGATCCTAATCTATAATCCATTGGATACATTGTATAAATAAACCAGGTGTTTTTAATTTAAATAAGGCAGCATGCAGACATATTGGATGGCTTTAACATCACATACAGTTGTCATTTTTAAGGAAGTTTTCAAAGAAACCTACATTGCCTGCCTGCATTAATTTTAGCTTTGAATCAGGATTTACAGTTGAGTTGGAAATATTTCTCTGGAGAAAACTTCTCTAGGGGAAATTCATGGTTCCAAAAACAGGAATGCATGCCTGAGAGAGATGGCTGGTGATTGGCGACAGGCCCTAATGGTGCATGTCAAGCAAGGGATAGGCTGTTTGGCTTTACTGGGTCATGGTCTGATATTATTTCCAAAACTGATTGGCTAGTTGTCAAGAAATATATACTTGTCTCTAGAGCATAACCAAAGAAACAAATGATTTCTTGTCATCTTTGCATATTCCCTGCAGTTCCTAGTTATGTATGTGTGTATGATGGACACATCCACATATATGTCACATGTGAGGATATGGTGTGTCTGGTTGACTGTTAGTTCATTGAACATGAACAAAAATTTTTAGAAACTATTGCACCACATATGAAGAAATACCCACTTCTCAATCTCCGAGAAATTTGGGATCAGCAAATCTAATGAAGTGATGTAAAACAGTCATATTTTGTGACTATTCTATGTACAAAATGAAAGCCTTTAATTATTTCTAGAGACTTCCTCAACTGATGCTATTTGGTGAGTATTAACCTGTCATAATTGTTAGGCAGTGAGAAAGTCTTTACCGACCACATGATCAGTCCAAAGAATGGAATCTACTTGCTCTGATTTGCTGACACATTACTATTAGTCACCATCTGATTTTCCTGACATTTGTTTTCAGTTGAATAAGTGAAAATGTCAACAAAGCAAAACCACTTATGTCTAAAAATAAAATGTTCTGCATTGTAGTAAATAAAGGGCTCAAGATTTAAAACAAAGCATTTTCTATTTCAAGATGTACTGTGTTATACTTTATATATAAATAAGATAAATCAATTTCAAATTTGTTAATTTGAACAGTTTTATTTAGATATATTTTATGTACCCTACAATATTTTTATAGAGTATTATTAATAGAAAATAGCAACCCTCTCAATTTTTGGCAGTCAGCATATTGCCACTGCTTTTTAAGACACATGTGTTTCTTTTACATATATTCATGACTGCTAAAGCACTAACTTAGGGTTTTACTGAGTCATCTCTAGTTCTTTTAGTAAACTGAATAAAATTTGGAGTATAACATTGGTTGGTTGGGACACACCGTAATGTGGTTGTTGTTATTGTGCTTGGTTTCTAAACTCTCCAGCATTTACAACCCATGGTAACTGGGTCATTTTACTGCTGTCCTTGGAAAGAGAGTTCTGATTTAGGAGGCTGGTTCCAGGTATAGTTTGTGACCTTGCCCACAAGGTCTTTGGCCATGCTATTGCTTATCCATAATACAAAGAGGCTGAGTAGTATAAGGGCAGAAATTAGAATCATAGACCCAGACACTGCATAAATAATCAAAGATTGGATCAGTATCAAATTATATGAGATTACTTACACAGTAATCTGAGATACTAAGAGTTCACAAACACTTTCCTACTTGTCATCTCATTCATATTCCCACTGTTCTGAAAGGCAAGATAGGGAAATCAGTTTACTTCTCCTGGTTTGTTTCTTTTTGATTCCTTTAAATTACTTCCCAGCTCCTTCTGGAGTTTCCCTCTATAAGCGAAAGATGCAGAAGGGAAATGATGCAAAAGGGAAAATTCTGGATGATTATTTATTGCTCATTATTCATCCAAGAACTATGTAACTCTAGCCAATGAGGCTAAACAGCCTCTTACCCAATGTTTTTAACCATGGCTGGCCATGGGAGATAAAAACACAAAGGTTCCTCATGGGTGGCTTGCTTACAAATTTGTGTAACATGCCTTATCCAGGGTTTAGTTTAAATTTTGTACATTTTTTTTTTCATTTCTAATACAAGAAAAAAAAAAGGAGAGCAGGCAGAAGATTATTTTGACCTATTAATCCAAACAGACAGCTGTCTGATGGGGGAGAAGAGCAACACCAGCTGGATGGTCTCTCTGCACATTCTGCTTTTGGTCATAGCTATAGCTGAGCAATGGTTTTGTCTAATGATAATCTAAGTGAAGATGTATCAAGTACCTCTATGATAGTAGCCCATTTTATTCACAAGGGATATTTTTAGTGTGTTCTCAATGCTAATTCCTACAGGGTTACATGACTTGAAATAAAAGTCTTCTCTTTCTGTCTAGTGTATATAACCCAGGTTAACAATTAAAGTATTCCATGGTATATACATATGAAATTATGTATGAAAGAGTGTATATATGTGTGTATGTACATTAATGATTAAAGGATGGGTAATATCCTACCTGTAATTATAGAATCCCTACTTTGATGATTAGCTACAAATATTAGCTATGAATATTGAATCTTATGAGGGACAAATGTCCTTGATGAAAAACAAGCACAATTATGATTCTGAGTGCATGTAATGAAGTGCTTAGTAAAAGTAAGATTTCCCCTCCCTCTGTGAAAATAAGAATTTTTGAACTAGGAAGAAAAATGAATCTTTGAAATTGACAACAGCAATTTTCAGTGAAAGGATGGCACACTGAGACACCCCATCTTTTCAGGTCAAAGATCTCCCCATTAACTCCTGGTGTTTCCTGAGCAACTGCTTATAAGAGCACCACCCAATCAGAAAGAGAAGGACCCCATGGTTGGCCCCCAGCTTTCACTGCATGGATAAACCATTTTGACTGGAAAACACTTTCTTATGATGAAATATCTTGAACATACAAAAAGGTATGGAGAATAAACATCACCCTAATTAAGAAAAATATCCCAGTAGGTAGTCAATAAATTTTTCTGACATAAATAAAATCAAGTCTCATGGCTGCAGCAGCTCTGGGTGGAATTTTTCCCTCTTGAGTTTCTGTTCCCTTTGCTGCTCTTTTGTCATTCACATTCGTCTGGATTTGACAAGTATCAAGGATGTGAGCTGGAAAGCTCTTGGTGTGGGAGAAAGAGAATGCCTTAAGGGACAGACGCCAAGATATTTTAATTAGCTATCTCCTCCAAACATAACCCTCAGGAGCAAGCAAAAATAGTCTGTGATTCTAAATCCTGAAGTACAAGCTTTTTTAGAATCCAGAATTAATTCTGAAAATGACAACAGTCAAGTGACCAAGAATGAATAAACAGGGAAAATAATGCTGATGATCATGCTGACCTTGAATTAAGAAGCCAGACATTTCATCCTTTAAAAAGACTTTTCTGGTTTGAAAGTCACATTACTACATTGGGTTTAATTAAACCAATCAAATGATAAACACTCTTTACTGTCGTTCTCTTTCAGATTAATTCTATTAGAGCCAGCTTTGAAAAGATTGATGGGGGTGGGGAGAGGATGGAAAATTTACATATAGAGATGAGTCTTAGACCTGAAAGAGTAAGCCTGGCTAAGAAAATGTGGATGGGGTCCCAGGGAGAGGGACAGCAAAGCACCAGTGGCAGCCAGGGGCTCTGTACCTGGGGCTGTTCCAGGGGTGCTGTGCTAAGCAGAGGAGGAGTTAGGTAAAAAGTCTTCTAGTCATGCTAAGAAGCCTGGGTTTCAGTCACTGGGGCAGTGCTTCCCAAAGCATTTTGCATCATAGTGCATTCAGAAAATATCATTTGTCCAGGTATAGGGGTAAATGCACTGGAATGCTTGCAACTAGAGATAACATCTGGGAATATCTCGGGCTCTGTTCAACTGTTCCAAGAGGGGAAGGGATGCCAACACCCCTTACTCACTTTCCACACAGCTCCTGGTGGTCCCTGGCAAGGGGGGGTCAGGGGGGAAAGGTGTGTTGCAGGCAGGTCCGGCTGCGGGGTGGTGTTAAGTAATGGAGTCATGAAAAAAGCTTTTTCTTGGCAGGTGGAGTAGAGGTGGGGTTTTCAGTCAAAAGAACAGGTGGAGAGGGACTCTGAGATAGCCCATGTGAGAGATTGATGAGCCCCAAAACTAAGGGGAAGGAGGTGCAAAAGAGAGAACTTTATAACACATTGGGTGGCAGGTAGGCATGTTCTGGTGTCAGTGGTGGGTGGTGGTGCCAGTCCATCACACAGAGAGCACTGACAGGGGAGCTGATGCAAATAGTTTTCTACTGCAAATCAAAAAATTATCTTTCCCTGTGTTTAGTTCAGTCCAACAAGCTCCCTGAGCATTAGATTTAAAACATGGTCCTTTCTAATACAATCACAGTCCTACATGAATGACTTATGGTAAATCAGAGGAGCACACAGCTGGATGTGGAGCCTCAGAAAGCCCAATTTGGGGTTTTCTGCTTAGAGAAATGTCGAGGAAGGTTTGCCAGAGAAAGTGACTCCTGAAATGAGCCTTCCTGCAATGAGCCTCACTGGGCTGTCTACACTGTAGAGGAGTGTGGGATCGTGTGTGTGTGTGTGTGTGTGTGTGTGTGTGTGTGTGTGTGTGTGTGTGTGTGTGTGTGTGTGTGGAGGAGGAGGGGGAGATGCAACGATCATGAAGTCTGAGAGTTTAAGGCACAAGTAACTGTAGATAAAGACAAGCAGAGAGTTCAGGGGGTTCAGGGAACCACAGATTTTCATACTTTTGGGGCACAGCAAACCCACAGAACATTTTTTATGCTGTGCCAATGCCACTCACAGCCTGAGAAATCTTTGCAAGGCTCCCTTGGTTTCTGGCAGGGTGAACATAGGAAAGCTTAAGAAAATTACAGTGTTTTGTCATAAGTTTCCTTTGCTTCCTGAATCTGGTTGTATTCAAGTGTCCTTGATATGCCTTATGAGGATCTAGAGAGGGAAAAGAAGAGGGAAGAGGCTCCTAACAGACCATTGCACGTGACCTTCAGTGTTGACCATAGTGAAGGGCATCTTTCAGTCCTGCTGGGCACTGCTTGCTTTAACAGAAGGGGTCCAGGGGAGGTATATATAACCACTGCTCTTGTTGACTGGGTTGTGGCCTGACTGTGGGGTAGGGGTGCTTAGGGTTCAGGCAGCGCGATCTGCTAGTGACAGCAGCTCTGACCATGTCTACAGATAAGAGGCTTGGAGACAGACCACCTGGCATTCCCGGGCAGCCATTCTCATGTTTTAGCCACTTTGTGTCACATCCCCACTATGTCTTAAAACTGGTATAAATTGCTTCTCCGCTTCCTTGGCTTACTAAATCATTGCTCTGAGGGGTTCTTTCAGTGTGAAATTTTAGGCTTCAGCAAATGTTTGTGGTGATGAAAAAGTTTCACTTGGCTCCATGAGTGTAAATACCATTTGTTATATTGTCATTTTCACCATGTTCCTACATGTAATTTAAAAAATTGAATACTGATGTTTAAATCAGATACTCAACAGCTCCTTCTGGTCTGAGTGGGTGATTAGGTAGGCATGGCAGGGAGAGCAAGGCCCCAGAAGGCCAGCACACTCCCTTTGGGGCTGTGGACTCTGCTGCCCCATGAACCTGCCCCCTGACGTGCTCTGCCCCAGCCTCACACACACAGTAGGCGCCATTCAGGATATCCCTGATGCTCAGTGTGGGTTCGTTGTGCCTTCTGAAGGTAGTCCAACCAGAGGGAAGCGATCCTATGACCTTTGCTCTCTCTCTTCACTTGTTCTTCGTGGTGGCTGTGACAGCAATGGAAGTGGGAAGGAGGAGAGGGCATTAAAAGACACATTTCCCCACAACATCTACCTCACCTATCTCCCCTGAAACCTCAAGATAAGAGGGGGAAGACTGGCAGGCTGATCACCCTGAAGAATGTTCTCCACAGTGTTTCATGTGATGAAACTTGGGGAAAATCTGTTTTTTCAGTCAGAGTAGCTCAGCCTGGGCAATTTCATTTCCAAGATGGATCCACATCGCTGTCTCCATTCTGTGATGCACTGGGGAGAATCCATCCAATGTTTTGTTAATATGCCAGGTCATCCCCCTCCAAGGCCCTGGCAGATGGAGTCAGAGCCTAAACCATGGTGTCAGTTTGCCTGTTGAGTCGCTGCCCCTCGCCTCTTCACCCCATGACATGACCCCTGTGTCCTTTCTTTGTGTTGCCTTTGACTTGGGCCACACAATGGTTGAGTGACTTTTGCTAAAAGAGATAAAGATGGAGGCCAGAGAGGCATTCCAGCAGAATTAGAATGTCCAGCCAACTGGGAGACATTTTTCCCTGTTGGAAGGTCAGAGTGGCTCTAGCAGTTTCACCCAGTGTTTGGGAATGGAGGGGAAAGGCAGGGAAGAAAGGCTTTTCCCTATTAATTCACTCTAAATTTGTTGTTTATTTCCTTTATTTGGGGAAGCAATGCCACAGAATAATAATAATAATAGGATAATAATAATAATAGAACAATGCCACACACACACAACATTGTATATATATACAACATTGTGTATATATAGCATATATATATTGTGTATATACAACATTGTGTATATATACATTGTTGTATATATATACACATTGTTTTTTTCAGTAGTTTTATTTCTTTAACTGAATTGAATAACTGTTGATTTATTTTATTGAGATGGAATTGACATAATCTTATATTAGTGTCAGACATAATAATATGACATTTGTATCTAGCAAAATGGTCACAAAAATAAGTATAGTTCACATTTTAATTTTCATCTTAAAAACCTGCATAAAATTAACAGTTTTCAAATGTTGGGAATTTTATATTCCATTGGATTCCAAGTTCTACCTAATTTATTGAATGTTAAAATTTTCACATTTAGTTGATTTCAAGTGCATATATTTTGAATGTGATTTTCCAATGTAAAACTTGTTTTCCTTGAAATTGGTTATGTGATTTACTGTTCATATGGCTAGCTCATTTGGATTATCTTTTCAGAGAGCAAGTGTATGGATATGTTTGCCTAAGAATGTAAATACATATTATTTTTTCTCACATAACAACATTTATTATTTTTGTATCAGTAACACATGCAACTTCCTTTGTTTCTGCTCCTTCAAGCTTAAGAACACAATTCTTTTTCACTATGAAAGAAGAAGCCCTAACAGGGAGAGACTGTAAGGTAAATAGCAAGGATGCACAGATAGAACCAACTCTATATTTCTGCAGCCAACGCAAGAGGGGCTGTGTCATGCAGATGTGTTTTTATCTATGTTGCCTTCAAAAAAATGGAAGGAGAGGGCCTCCCCGGTGGCGCAGCGGTTGGGCGCTGGGTTGCGAAACTGCGCGCGGCCTCTGCGGCGCCGGTTCGATCCCCGGCTGCTCCCCGGCCACCGGAGGAGGGTCCCACATGGCGCGCAGACCTCTCCTGCCGCCCGCTGCTCCCCTCAGCAGTGTACTTCGGTCCTTCTGCCTGCTCTGCTCCCCGCTCTGGCTCTGGTGAATTCTCTCACCCTCCCGCGCTTCTGACTGTACCCAGTGCATGTATAAACAAAACAAACAAACAAACCAGCAAACAAATAAATAAAGCATGCCTCTATTAAAAAAAAAAAAAAAAAAAATGGAAGGAGATAAAATCCAGTTTGAAAATCCATTCTATGAACTGCGTGGTCTGACCTATGTTGTCTTCTGAAAAATGCCTTTTATAACACATGGGCCAGGGTCCCTATTTTATAAGTCTCCACTGAGCTCCATCAAAATGGTAATATGTTATCCAGATGTGTGGGCTGCTGGGGGTAAGAGCAAATTTCCAAATGGAATGGCCTTCTTACAGCTTGGGTTGGCTGAATATTGGGGGTTGTACAGATCTGACTGGATGCTGGGTCCCTGGATGAGAGCAGATGCTCCAGGTAGGCAACTGGTGGTCAAAGGCCTAAGTGTGCTCCTGCCCAAGGAGCTCCCACTGGCCCAGAGGCCTGAAGGACCAGCCTTGCTCTTTCTGCTTAAGCTCCTTCTCTGGGAAAGAGAGGAAAGGTTTCTTTCACAGACCACAGGATCTCAGTGTTTCCAGCCAAAGATGCCAGCAGTTGGAACAGAGCACGCAAGACCAGTGACAATTCTTCCACGGGGAGGAACAGAGAACAATGCAACATCCTAAGATTTGTTTGTGAGTTAAAACAAATGATCATGCCAGTTATTAATCTGTGCCACCTTCCCTTCTATAAGTGTGCCTTTCCTTCACCTTTCAACTTTCTTTCACATCTCTCATGCTCTCTCTAAGTCAAGTTGTCCTTGCTTTTCTCTACGACCCAATCCTTATTCCAAATTGTCCTCCCCTCCTGGCATTATCTTGTGCTCCAGTTCTTTCCTGGCACTTAAAAACTGTTGTCAACCTGGCTTCTTCTCCCTCAAGAATCAATTTGTCAAAAATATGTTTGTGATACTTTGAGAGCTATGTATTATCAGTTTTAGGTCCACATTTTCTAGTCTTCTGACTTAATATCTCTAGCCAATAGCCTACTTCTAATTTGGGAATCTTAGCACTGTATTAGATTTGAAAGAAGCACACTTTGAGGGCATGTGTGTGTTCTGGTGTCCCCATAACGTGTGCACAGTGTAGGTACTGCCTGGTGAACCAGCATAGGGGATG